AGACATCACTACAACAGGCGGTGTTGTAAGAGACATCACTACAACAGGCGGCGTTATAAGAGGCATCATTAAAACAGGCGGCGTTATAAGAGGCATCACTACAACAGGCGGTGTTATAAGAGACATCACTATAACAGGCGGCGTTATAAGAGGCATCACTACAACAGGCGGTGTTATAAGAGACATCACTATAACAGGCGGCGTTATAAGAGGCATCATTAAAACAGGCGGCGTTATAAGAGGCAGTGTTATAACAGACGGTGTTATAAGAGGCGGCGTTATAAGAGGTAGTGTTATAAGAGGCGGCGTTATAACAGGCGGCATTATAACAGGCATCACTATAACTGGCGGCGTTAAAACAGGCAGCGTTATAACAGGCGGCGTTATAACAGGCGGCGTTATAAGAGACATCACTATAGCAGGCGGTGTTGTAACAGGCGGCGTTATAAGAGGCAGTGTTATAAGAGGCGGCGTTATAAGAGGCACGCCTGCACTGTGCTGAACATCGCACAAGACGACCGCGGCGACTCCTTATTCTGAAGCCGCTGGAGCTACGTCACGTTTACATCATCCAGATTGAGAACTCATTTCTCCAGGACTGCTTCTTCTTCTTGTTGTTGTTATGTTTAGTTTGTGGTCTCCCCCCGCACACCTCCGATTGAACGCGGTTGGCTACGTATGGTGCGAAAGAAGTTCAACACACACTACACTACTATACACTACACTAGTGTATACACTCCACTATACACTACTGTACCATATACTACACCAGTGTAAACTTTACCACTATACTACATTGGAAACTCATTTCTTTAGAGCTGCTTCAGCGCGGTTGGCTACGTACGGTGCGAAAGAAGTTCACCGCAGTACACTGCACTATACACTACTATACACTGCACTATACACTACACTATACACTACACTACTATACACTACACTATACACTACTATACACGACACTATACACTACACCATACACTACACTATACACTACACTACACACTACACTATACACTACGCTATACACTACACTAAACACTATACTCAACACTACAAAATACACTATGCTACACACTACACTATACACTACGCTATACACTACACTATACACTACACTAAACACCATACTCTGCACTACACTATACACTGCACTATACACTACACTACACACTGCACTACACACTGCACTATACACTGCACTATACACTACACTATACACTGCCCTATACACTACACTATACACTACACTATACACTACACTATACACTGCAGTATACACTGCACTATACACTACACTATACACTGCCCTATACACTACACTATACACTACATTACTATACACTGCACTATACTCTACACTATACACTGCCCTATACACTGCACTATACACTACTATACACTGCACTATACACTACACTATACACTACGCCAGACACTACACTATACACCACACTACACTACTATGCACTACACTATACACTACGCCAGACACTGCACTATACTCTACACTACACTATACACTGCAATATACACTACACTATACTCTACACTACACTATACACTAAACTATACACTGCACTACACAATACACTAAACACTGCACTATACACTACACTATACATTGCACTATACACTACATTATACACTATACACTGCACTACACACTACACTATACACTGCACTAAACACTACACTATACACTGCACTATACAATGCACTATACTCTACACTATACACTGCACTATACACTATACACTACACTATACACTACACTACTATGCACTACACTATACACTACGCCAGACACTACACTATACACTGCACTATATACTACACTATACTCTACACTACACTATACACTATACACTGCACTACACACTACACTACACACTGCACTATACACTACACTATACACTGCACTATACACTACACTATACACTGCACTATACACTACTATACACTGCACTATACACTGCACTATACACTACACTATACAATGCACTATACACTACACACTACAGTATACACTACACTATACACTACACTCAACACTACACACCACTACACTATCACTACACTATACACTACACTTGACACTACACTACTATACACTACAATACACACTACACTATACACTACACTATACACTACACTATACACTATACTACACTATACACTACACACTACACTATACACTACACTATACACTACACTCAACACTACATTACACACTACACTACACACTACACTATACACTACACTATACACTACACTACTATACACTACACTATACACTACACTATACTATACACTACACTACACACTACACTATACACTACACTACACGCTACACCACACTATACACTACACTATACACTACACTACACACTACACTATACACACTACACTATACACTACACATTACACTATACACTACACTATACACTACACTCCACTATACACTGCCCTATACACTGCACTATACACTACTATACACTGCACTATACACTACACTATACACTACACTATACACTACGCCAGACACTACACTATACACCACACTATACTCTACACTGCACTATATACTACACTATACACTGCACTATACACTACACTATACTCTACACTACACTATACACTGCAATATACACTATACTATACCCTACACTACACTATACACTAAACTATACACTGCACTACACACTACACTACACACTGCACTATACACTACACTATACACTGCACTATACACTACATTATACACTACACTATACACTGCACTACACACTACACTATACACTGCACTAAACACTACACTATACACTGCACTATACACTACACTATACTCTACACTGCACTATATACTACACTATACACTGCACTATACACTACACTATACACGACGCCAGACACTACACTATACACTACACTACTATGCACTACACTATACACTACGCCAGACACTACACTATACACTGCACTATACACTACACTATACTCTACACTACACTATACCCTACACTATACACTGCACTACACACTACACTACAAACTGCACTATACACTACACTATACACTGCACTATACACTGCACTATACACTACTATACACTGCACTATACACTGCACTATACACTACACTATACACTACACTATACACTACACTACACTATACACTACACTCAACACTACACTACACACTACACTATACACTACACTATCACTACACTTGACACTACACTACTATACACTACAATACACACTACACTATACACTGCACTATACACTACACTATACACTACACTATTCACTACACTCTACACTATACACTACACACTACACTATACACTACACACTACACTATAAACTACACTATACACTACACTACACACTACACTGAACTATACACTACACTATACACCACTACTATACACTACAATACACACTACACTATACACTACACACTACACTATACACTACACTATACACTGCACTATAAACTACACTATACACTACACTATACACTACACTATACACTGCACTATACGATACACTACACACTACACTATACACTACACTACACGCTACACCACACTATACACTACAGTATACACTACACTATACACTACACTACACACTACACTACACTATACACACTACACTATACACACTACACTATACACTACACACTACACTGTACACTACACTATACACCACACTATACACCACACTATACACTACACTATACACTACACTGTACACTACACTATACACTACACTATACACCACACTATACACCACACTATACACCACACTGTACACTACACTGTACACTACACTATACACTACACTATACACTATACTATACACTACACTATACACCACACTGTACACCACACTATAACTACACTATACACTACACTACACACTACACTATACACTACACTATACACTACACTATACACTGCACTATACGATACACTACACACTACACTATACACTACACTACACGCTACACCACACTATACACTACAGTATACACTACACTATACACTACACTACACTATACACACTACACTATACACACTACACTATACACTACACACTACACTGTACACTACACTATACACCACACTATACACCACACTATACACTACACTATACACTACACTGTACACTACACTATACACTACACTATACACCACACTATACACCACACTATACACCACACTGTACACTACACTGTACACTACACTATACACTACACTATACACTATACTATACACTACACTATACACCACACTGTACACCACACTATAACTACACTATACACTACACTACACACTACACTATACACTACACTATACACTACACACTATACACTACACACTACACTACACTATACACACTACACTATACACACTACACTATACACTACACTATACACTACACACTATACACTATACTACACACTATACACTACACTATACACTACACTATACACTACACTACTATACAATGCGCCACTCTCCCGCCTGGTTCCGGGGGGGTCTGTGCCGTCAAATTCCAGAGAGGGGGCGGCTAGGAGGGGGGGCTCCGGGGGGAGGAGATGGAACGCGAAATCAAAATCTCGCAGCACTTTGCCCACCACCCAACAATTATGAGGCTACACGGGGCACCTTTGTCTTTGTAACTTTTTTTCTTTTTACGACAGCAGATGCCGTAAAGATAGGAAAAAGTTTGTGGCCTTTACGGCACACGTCGCAGTCGCAAAAACCCGGACGCACGTGCGCCGTGTCACGTGGGGAGCCTCCTGGATTGGTCTCCTCCCGCCACCACCGCCTCTGCTGTTATTGTTGGTTGTTGTTGGTTATTGTTGTTGGTTGTTATTGTTGTTGGTTGTTATTGTTGTTGGTTGTTATTGGTTGTTATTGTTGTTGGTTGTTATTGTTGTTGGTTGTTATTGTTGTTGGTTGTTATTGTTGTTATTGTTGTTGGTTATTGTTGTTGTTGGTTGTTATTGTTGTTGGTTATTGTTGTTGGTTGTTATTGTTGTTTATTGTTGTTGTTGGTTGTTCGCCCGATCCAGCGGCTCCAGGTCGGCAGTTCGCCGCTTCCACCACCGCAGCACCGCGGGCGGCAGGCGGCGAGCCGCCGCCTCCTCGCTCGCATCGACAGTCGCCGATTGTCTGAGACGCCGGAGGAGGAGGAGCAGGGGTAGGAGCAGTGGGGGTAGGAGCAGGAGGAGTGGTAGGGGCAGCAGGGGTAGGAGCAGGAGGAGCAGGGGTAGGAGCAGGGGTAGGGGCAGCGGGGGTAGTAGGAGCAAGGCCCCTGGCAAGTGCTGCTGCGGGTGGGAGGAGCGGCCTCTGGAGCCATCTCTAGGGAGAGAGACGCGTCCGCCGCACCTCCGGGCACGGTTCGGCTAAGTTCGTCGTCGTACATTCAGACAGAACGCGCGCACGTCGTAAAGCGGAACGCGCCCACGTCGTAAATCGGAAACCCGAGCCCGTCGTAAAGCGGAATCTCGAGCCCGTCGTAAAGCGGATCGGGCGCCCGTCGCAAAGCGAGACGCGCCCCGTCGTAAAGCGAGACGCGCGCCCGTCATGTTCGCCGCGCGCGCCACGTGCGCCATGTGCGGCGTGGCGGGGCGTCCGCCCTACACGTGCCCGCGCTGCAACGCGCGCTACTGCAGCGCGCGCTGCTACCGCGCGCCCAGCCACGCGGCCTGCAGCGAGGACTTCTACCGCCGCTGCGTCCTGGGCGAGATGACTCGCGGGGGAGGAGGAGGAGGAGGGGAGACGGATCCGGCGTCATCGTCACGCGCCTCCTCCTCCTGTTCGTCGCCCGAGCGAGTGGAGCGAATGCTTGGGATGTTGAGGAGGCTCCGGACGCAGCAGCAGCAGGAGGAGGAGGAAGAAGAGGAAGAGGAGCAGCAAGGAGATTGTGACGCGGAGGAGAAGAAGATGATGATGGAAGCCGAGAGAAAGAAGAGTGGTGATGACAGCGATGACAGTGATGATGTTGACGAGCAAGCAGAGGAGATGATGAAGATCGGCACGATTGGTGGCGGCGGTGCCACTGCTCACGCAAATGTGGGAATCAATATTGACGACGACGACGACGATGCCGACGACGACGATGCCGACGACGATACCGACGACGACGACCCCAGCAGCCTCGCCGTGAGACTGCGGGGCCTGAACCTCGACACGGACTCGCGGCTCGTCTGGGAGAGGCTCACGGACGCCGAGCGGAGGAAGTTCCACGACTTCGTGGACTCGGCCCACGCTGCGTCGTCGTCGCCGCCGCCGCCGCCGCTGCCGCCACCCTGGCGGCCGTGGTGGGAGCGTGGAGACCGCGGCCGCCGGGCCGAGCGTCTCGCGGGCGTCGCGGCGGCGGCGGTGGAGGAAGAGGAGAAGAAGGGACAGAAGCTACGCAGAGGTAAAGAATTAAGAATTTAAACTTTCAACTTTTTGTTTTACCGAGTAAGGCCCCGCTGAGCTGCTGTGTGTAGCTGTTTTTTCAGAAGCGGCCGGGCCACCACAGATGATAGCCCGGCGAAGTGGTTTGTCATCACCATCATCGTGTGGAATTCATAGTTCCATAGTTAGTTTCATAGTTTCATTTATATTGGTATAGTCCTGTGAGCCATTCGGCTCTTGAATCGGGTGCAACCGCAACAAACACAAAAACATGAACAAGAAAACATCTTAAAGTGACTTTGTGTGACTGTGCAATCAGAAAATCCAGGAAAAAAACAGCAAAATATTCCTGAAATAGCACCGTACACCAACGCTGTGTGCAAAAATCCCAGTGGGATGCAAGTCAAATAACAACAACAACAACAACCACAAGACAACTAAGATTAAGGCCATCAGTCTAACTCCGTACTAAATAAACAAAAACATGGCCAAAACCAAAAAAGCTTTGCGAAATCACCAAAATAAAAGCCATAAATGCAATGTAACAGTGATCATAGGGACTGTGACCGAATTTTTAACAATAAACTACGTAAATAAATTATAACACCAAAATCTAGAGCCATATTTTAGGCCAAATACTGCAAACGCATAGGGACACGCAGAGACCCACAGAGATGCAGAGAGATGAATAGAGATCCACAGAGATACATAGAGACCCACAGACTAAACTAACATTAAACTATTTTATTTTACCAGGTAAGGAGACAGCAGAAACTCCGGGATCGAACCCACGACCTCCTGCCTACCAGGCGAGGTAGTTAACATCTCCTAGCCACCGTGATAATGATGATGAGAGAGAGACACCGCAAACTCGAAATATACAGCAGCAGCAGCAGGCGTCGTCAGGGTTGGGATCGAACCCACGACCTTCTGTATACATCTCGGGGGTTAAAGAGAAATTCAGGAGTGTAAAGCCCATTGAGCTAAGTAGTTCTTGTTCACAGGGGTGCGACTTGGCCGGCAGACATCAAAGCGTTCCACATGTACACTCGCACCACACTCGCTGGCCCACTCACTCACGCACGTTACGCGTTGTGACACAGAACACGGTACAGTGACACGGTCACGCGGAGCCACGGGGGTCACGGGCGGAGCGACGGGGGTCGCTGGCGGAGCGACGGGGGTCACGGGCGGAGCGACGGGGGTCACGGGCGGAGCGACGGGGGTCACGGGCGGAGCGACGGGGGTCACGGGCGGAGCGACGGGGGTCACGGGCGGAGCGACGGGGGTCACGGGCGGAGCGACGGGGGTCGCGGGCATTCTGGCAAAATCGACCCGGTGATGATGCCGACCGATGTAATTGCCCGGCGAAACGTTCACGCCGCCGCCCCAACTGTTTCGTTCTTTCGGTAAGGTCGCATGGGGGGTAGAAACAATGATAGACCCACGACGTGTGGGGATCGGTTGCCCGTGTGGATTCCCGCAGCCACGAAAGCTTCGAATCGAGGCACTGCTTGCTCTCTGGGGCTTTCGTGACACGCCGGCGGGCCGGCGGGAGTAAACCAGTTGGCGCGTTTTGTTTGCGCGACGAATCTTCCTCGCCGCTTGGCTGCGCCGGGTGGTGGAGGGTCACGACGCGCTCTCTTATACACCTACGGGATCTAAACCTCGATCGCCAATGACGGAGGTGGCGCAAGCCCCCCGCTGCGTCTTAAACGCAAACGTGACCGCTCGCCGCGCTGCGTCGACAGAGGCGGAGAAAGACGACGACGAGGACGAGGATGAGGAGGACGAGGAGGACGAGGAGGACGAGGAGGAGGAGGAGGACGAGGAGGACGAGGTGGACGACGAGGAGGAGGAGGAGGAGGGCACCGCCCGGATCCCCCCGGTGGCCGCGCTCATCCCCCCGCTGCGCTCGCTGTCGAGCCGCGGGCCGGCCCCCTGCGTCCCCCTCTCGCTCGTCAGCCTGCTGCTGGCCTACGCGGCGGCGGCGCTGCTCGCTCGCCGCGGCGACGACGCCCCGGCCCGCGACTTTGCGGGGCTCCTCCTGCGGCTCTGCGACCCCCCGGCGGGCGCCGTCCGCGGCGGCGCCGGGGAGGCGGCGCCGCCGGCGGCGGCGCTGGCGGCGGCGCTGGCGGCGGCGCTGGCGGCGGCGCGGGCGGCGCTGCTGCGCGAGGCGGGGGAGGGCGGCGACGGGGAGGCGCTGTGGTCGCGCTGCCTGGGCGCGGTGCGGAGGATCCTGGAGGGGCCGAGGAGCGGAGACCGCCGGCGCTACGCGCTGGCCGCCCTGTCGCACGCCGGCGAGGTGTTCGTGCGCGCGCGGAGAGAGATGAGGAGGCGGGGGAGGGCGGGGGGGGAGACGGGGGGAGCGGAGGGGGTGGCGGCGGCGGCGGCGGACGTGTCCGCCGACGTCACCGCCGACGTCACCGCCGACGTCGCCGCCGACGTCGCCGCCGACGTCACCGCCGCCGACACCGACGGCACCGCGACCGCCGCGTCGGCGCCGTCTCGCGGGAGGCCTCGCGAAGCGCCGAGGGGGGGAGGGGGGGAGGCGGAGGGGCAGGAGGGCTCCGGGCCCACCGCCTCGTCGTCCGCGTGCTTCCGCGCCCACAAGAAGTGCCTCTTCCTGCTGGCGTGGGCGGCCGAGCGGGGCGCGGAGCTGCCCGGCCTCGCGCGGGCCGTGCGGGAGGAGGAGGAGCGGGCGAGGAGGAGGAGGGCGGGCGACGAGGACGACGAGGAGGGGGCTGTGCGGGGGGGCGGGCGACCCCCCGGGGTACTGGTGCAGGAGTTGTGAGCCGTCGAGGATTCCAATGGAGGGGGCGGCCAAAACGACGGCGCAGGACCTTGGCCTACTCTTCCGTCGACGCCGGTCGGAGGTTTCGCGTTACAGTTGCTGAGCACCGGGGGGTGGGGTGGGGGGGGCCTCCAAGGCCAGCAACAAACAGCACCGTTATGGAGGTTGTAACAGATCGCAGATAGGAGTGTAACTCGTTTGTGTTGAACGAGGTTGTTGTTTTGATTTAAAGCTTTCGTGACTGCAGGGATTCATATTCTTGGTTGTTTCGGTAAAGTCACCACCACGTAGATAGGGAAACAATAAAATAATACAAATATAAAAAAATTCTCACGACGTTTCGACTGCAACACAAGAAGCAATCATCATCAGGTGTGAAAACCACAGCAAGAAAATTTTCAAATTTTCTTTCTCTTCTATGTGACTTTACCGAAAGATCCAATAATATGATGATGTTGTTGTTACAAGAGATTGGCGGGAGGGTGGGAGGACGAGACGGTGGTGATGGGAGGAGGGAATTAGATAGTAGAGCAGGGCGAGGGAAGAAGCAGAGAGGTGAGGTGACCTGCAGTGTGGTGAGTGGGTGAGTGGATGGGTGGGTGGGTGTTGTGACCTTCAGTGTGGTGAGTGGGTGGGTGGGTGGGTGAGTGGATGTTGTGACCTGCAGTGTGGTGAGTGGGTGGGTGGTGGGTGGGTGGGTGAGTGGATGTTGTGACCTGCAGTGTGGTGAGTGGGTGGGTGGATGGTGGGTGGGTGAGTGGATGTTGTGACCTTCAGTGTGGTGGGTGGGTGAGTGGATGTTGTGACCTGCAGTGTGGTGAGTGGGTGAGTGAGTGGATGGGTGGGTGGGTGAGTGGATGTTGTGACCTTCAGTGTGGTGGGTGGGTGGGTGAGTGGATGGGTGGGTGGGTGAGTGGATGTTGTGACCTTCAGTGTGGTGGGTGGGTGAGTGGATGTTGTGACCTTCAGTGTGGTGGGTGGGTGAGTGAGTGGATGGGTGGGTGAGTGGATGTTGTGACCTTCAGTGTGGTGGGTGGGTGGGTGAGTGGATGTTGTGACCTTCAGTGTGGTGGGTGGGTGAGTGGATGGGTGGGTGGGTGAGTAGATGTTGCGACCTTCAGTGTGGTGGGTGGGTGGGTGAGTGGATGTTGTGACCTGCAGTGTGGTGAGTGGGTGAGTGAGTGGATGGGTGGGTGGGTGAGTGGATGTTGTGACCTTCAGTGTGGTGGGTGGGTGGGTGAGTGGATGGGTGGGTGGGTGAGTGGATGTTGTGACCTTCAGTGTGGTGGGTGGGTAAGTGGGTGGGTGGGTGGGTGAGTGGATGTTGTGACCTTCAGTGTGGTGGGTGGGTGAGTGGATGGGTGGGTGGGTGAGTAGATGTTGTGACCTTCAGTGTGGTGGGTGGGTGGGTGAGTGGGTGGGTGGGTGAGTGGATGTTGTGACCTTCAGTGTGGTGGGTGGGTGGGTGAGTGGATGGGTGGGTGGGTGAGTGGATGGGTGGGTGGGTGAGTGGATGTTTTGACCTTCAGTGTGGTGGGTGGGTGAGAGGATGGGTGGGTGGGTGAAAGGATGGGTGGGTGGGTGAGTGGATGTTGTGACCTTCAGTGTGGTGGGTGAGTGGGTGAGAGGATGGGTAGGTGGGTGAGTGGATGTTGTGACCTTCAGTGTGGTGGGTGGGTGGTTGTTGTGATTTGCAGTGTGGTTAGTGTGTGGATGAGTGAATGATGATTGTGACCTGCAGTGTGGTTGCTGTGTGGGTGAGTGGCTGTGTGGGTGAGTGTGAGATTATGTGGGTAGGTGAGTAGGTGGTGTAGTTGTCAGCGCTACGCTGCGCTATGAACCTGGCGACCCGGGTTCGATATTTCCGCTCACGTCCAACACCAGTGACAGCGATTCTCTGAACCGGTCCCGGGCCTCCCCGAGGTCGACTCAGCCTCATAACCTGGTGCGCTGTGTGTAGTAAACATCGCCACTGGGGGAGACAAAGGCGGCCGGGCGTGATGCTGGCCACCAACCCCCTCGTGTGCCACAGTGCCGGTAGCCTTCACAGGTGCTGCTCGCTAACAGCACTTGCCCCTACAGCCTGTTAAGGCTACACGGGGGGAGGGAGGGGATGTTTTGTCTTTGTGGAAGGCAGTGGAGCGACTCCCAACAATGGGGCGGTTTAAACAGCTGTCGGAATCGTCGAATGGACTAAAATAAAAGTTCACAGCCTTGTTCGATCCACTGCTGCATGAAGGCCTCCTTCACGCCCCCGCGGTTTGGGGGGGGGGGGGGGTGGATGGTGCTTCGCCATCCATCCCCCACGCCAGTTGTTAAATGGAGGAGTAAAGTGGCGTTGTGTAAAGAGGATGTTGTTGTTTGGGGAGGGGGGGGGACAGATGGGCTAACTAGACAACAACAATAACAACAACATGGGACCTCCTTTGCCGGTACCAAAATATGATAATGTTTGGGGCCGTCCATAAATGACGTCACGCGATTTTGGACGATTTCTGACCCCCCCCCTTCGTCACACGACGTCACAAAAAGTCAGACCCCCCCCCCGCCTTAAATATGACGTCACAAAGCTCTGCCCCCCCCCACACCCAAAAATAAAACAGGCTTCAAATCGCTTTAAACTATTGTCATTATAGTGCGTATTTAATGTGGCGCTGCACTCTGATGTTGTAGGAGAAAACATTTATTAAAAAGTCTGTTTCATTAAGTAGAACGCGTTGTCTCTATTTATTTATAAAGTTGCGCATTTTGATGTGACGTCACATTTCTCAAACCCCCCCACGTCACACATCGTCACAAATGTCTGACCCCGCCCCCTAGGTGCGTGACGTCATTTACGGACGGCCCCTTGTCTCTGGCAACAAAACAGCTGTGTTGAGTTTCGTTTTAAAATTTTCGTGACCGCAGGGATTCATATTCTTGGTTCTTTCGGTAAAGTCACCACCACGTAGAAAAAAAAAACAATAAAATAATACAAAATATAAAAAACAATAAAATTCTCACGACGTTTCGACTGCAACACAATAAGCAATCATCAGGTGTGAAAACCACGGCAAGAAAATTTGAAAAAAAGTGGCGGTTTATTTTTAACGTTAGCACTACGGAGAGCGATTTGGCAGTTTGTTCAGATGGACGAGTCCATCTATGTTCGGAAAAGAGGAGGGGGGGAGACGAACATAGATGGACTCATATTCTTAGTTTTTTCGGTAAAGTCACGTTGAAGAGAAACAACAAAATAACAAAATATATATAAAACAATAAAAAATTCTCACGACGTTTCGACCATAACTCAAACGGTCATCACCTGATGATGATGACCGTTTGAGTTATGGTCGAAACGTCGTGAGAATTTTTTATTGTTTTATATATATTTTGTTATTTTGTTGTTTCTCTTCAACGTGACTTTACCGAAAAAACTAAGAATATGAATTACTGCAGTCACGAAAGCTTTAAATCAAAATAGATGGACTCGTCTGTCTGGAGGACAGCGCTGGAGTCTCGTCCCTTCACCTGATGAAGGCAGCTTGTGTTGTGGCCGAAACGTCGTGATTTTTGTTATTTTATTTTTTACCTACGTGACTTTACCCAATAGAACCAAAGAGTATAGATCCTAGCAGTCACGAAAGCTTTAAATCTAGAAGCGATTTGGCAGTTTGTTCAGATGGACTCGTCCATCTGAACAAACTGCCAAATCGCTCTCCGTGGTGCTAACGTTAAAAAATAACATGCCACTTTTTTCAAATTTTCTTGCTGTGGTTTTCACACCTGATGATGGATTGCTCGTGTTGCAGTCGAAACGTCGTGAGAATTTTATTGTTTTTTATTTTGTATTATTATTTTATTGTTTCCCTTCTACGTGGTGGTGACTTTACCGAAAGAACCAAGAATATGAATTCCTGCAGTCACGAAAACTTTAAATGAATGTCGTAAAGCAGTTATTGCTGCCGTAAAGCAGATTTGCGCGTCGCGAGGGCTGTCGTAAAGCAGGTCTGCGTGTCGCGACAGTTGTCGTAAAGTAGATATCTCTGTCGCGAGGGCTGTCGTGAAGCAGGTCTGCATGTCGCGACGGTTATCGTAAAGCAGGTTCCACATGTCGCGACGATTGTCGTGAAGCAGGTTTCCTTGTGCCGCACGTGATCTGGGGGCTCCTGAGCTCCCATTGGCTGCGGGGTGAGGCCCCGCCCACCGCCCATCTCCGGTGACGTCATCCGACTGCGGCCCCCTTCGCGTTGAATTTGACTCCGAGTTAGTCATAGAAGCTGCTGCTACAGATACACTACAACTACTACTATACTACAGCTACAGCAGCTACAGCTACCACTATACTACAGCTACAGCAGCTACTACAGCTACAGCAGCTACTACTATACTACAACACTACTACAGCTACAGCAGCTACAGCTACACTACAGCTACAGCAGCTACTACAGCTACCACTATACTACAGCTACTACAGCTACAGCAGCTACTACAGCTACAGCAGCTACTACAGCTACAGCAGCTACTACAGCTACAGCAGCTACTACAGCTTGTAGCCAGGTAAGCGCCGTGCCAGGTGCGTTGTACTTGCCGTGCTGATCTCGGCGTTTGGGGAGGTGATGAGAGGTATAGGGATGGGCGAATGAATGGGTGTGTGAGTGAGCAGGTGAGTGAGCAGGTGAGTGAGTGGTTATGGAAGTGGGTGAGTGATTTGGTGAGTGGTTATGTAAGTGGGTGAGTGATTTGGTGAGTGTGTGGCTAGGTGAGTGAGTAGGTGAATGAGATGGTGGGTGAGTGAGTTGGTGAGTGAGTGGGTGGCTAGGTGAGTGAGTGATTAAGTTAATGAGATGGTGGGTGGGTGAGTGAGTTGGTGAGTGGGTGGCTAGGTGAGTGATTGAGTAGGTGAATGAGTAGGTGGGTGAGTGAGTTGGTGAGTGAGTGGGTGGCTAGGTGAGTGATTAAGTTAATGAGATGGTGAGTGAGTTGGTGAGTGGGTGGCTAGGTGAGTGAGTGAGTAGGTGAATGAGTAGGTGGGTGAGTGAGTTGGTGAGTGAGTGGGTGGCTAGGTGAGTGAATGAGTAGGTGGGTGAGTGAGTTGGTGGGTGGCTAGGTGAATGAGTGATTAAGTTAATGAGATGGTGGGTGAGTGAGTTGGTGAGTGGGTGGCTAGGTGAGTGAGTGAGTAGGTGAATGAGTAGGTGGGTGAGTGAGTTAGTGAGTGGGTGGCTAGGTGAGTGAGTGATTAAGTTAATGAGATGGTGGGTGAGTGAGTTGGTGAGTGGGTGGCTAGGTGAGTGAGTAGGTGAATGAGTAGGTGGGTGAGTGAGTTGGTGAGTTGGTGAGTGGGTGGCTAGGTGAGTGAGTGATTAAGTTAATGAGATGGTGGGTGAGTGAGTTGGTGAGTGGGTGGCTAGGTGAGTGAGTGAGTAGGTGAATGAGTAGGTGGGTGAGTGAGTTGGTGAGTGGGTGGCTAGGTGAGTGAGTGATTAAGTTAATGAGATGGTGGGTGAGTGAGTTGGTGAGTGGGTGGCTAGGTGAGTGAGTGAGTGAGTAGGTGAATGAGTAGGTGGGTGAGTGAGTTGGTGAGTGAGTGGATAGGTGAGTAGTGTAGCGGTTAGCGCGCTGCGCTATGAACCTGGCGACCCGAGTTCGATTCCCGCTCACGGCCAACACCAGTGACGATTATCTGAACCGGTCCCGGGCCTCCCCTAGGTCGACTCAGCCTCAAATGAGTACCTTGTGTGGTGTGTAAACATTGCCACTAGGGAGACAAAGGCGGTCGGGCGTGGTGCTGGCCACCCACCCCCTCGTGTACCGTTCTGGCCTTCATAGGTGCTCGCTAACAGCAGTCTGTTAAGGCTATATGGGGGATCTTTGGCTAGGTGAGTGAGTGATTAAGTTAATGAGATGCTGGGTGAGTGAGTTGGTTAGTGGGTGGCTGAGTGAGTGAGTAGATGAATGAGTAGGTGGGTGAGTGAGTGGGTGGCTAGGTGGGTGAGAGTTGGTGAGTGAGTAGGTGGCTAGGTGAGTGAGTGAGTTGGTGAGTGAGTGGGTGGCTAGGTGAGTGAGTGAGTAGGTGAATGAGTAGGTGGGTGAGTGAGTTGGTGAGTGAGGGAATTGGTGGGTGACGAGGTGAGTGAGTGGCGAAGTGAGTGGGTGGTGACATTGCTCTCACACACGATGCATCATTACACAGACAAAGATCCCCCGTGTAGGCTTAATGGACTGTTCGGGCAAGTGCTGTTAGCGAGTAGCAGCGCCTATGGTTTTTCTGTTGCGTGTAGTTACTTTAAGATGTTTTCTCGTTCATGTTTTTGTTTTGTTGTGGTTGCACCTGAGTCAAGAGCCGCATGGCTCACAGGGTTATACTTAACTAGTTAGACGACCCGGCTTCGCCCGGCCGCCTTTGTCTCCCCAGTGGCGATGTTCACACACCACAGCAGTTACTCGTTTGAGGCTGAGTCGACCTAGGGGAGGCCCAGGAGCGGTTCAAATAATCGTCACCGCTGGTGGCCGTGAGCGGGAATCGAACTCGGGTCGCAGGGTTCGTAGCGCAGCGTAGCGCTAACCACTACACTACCGCTCCCCCCACACAAACACACAGACATACACACACACACAGACATACACACAGACACACACAGGCACACACACAGACACACACACAGACAGCGCGCTAACCACTACGCTACAATCCGTTACGCTTCCACGTGCGAGGGTCACGTGACAGATTTGACGTCACAGCTCAATTGCCGTGCAAAAAAATGCATTAAAAGTGTATTTTTTTTTATAATTGTTGCATGGTGTACAGTCTGGAAAGTACCCACATGGCAAATTTCAAGTTTGTTGCATGTCGGGAAGTACGCTAAACATTTTAAACAGACAACACACAATCACAACTTTGCCTTTTATACATATGTGGAGATAACTGAAACTGAAGAGACACATCAGGGATGGAGCAGCCAGCACCACGCCCGGCCGTGATGCACCACGGGCTCACACCTTGAACGTCGGACAACGAAACCTTCCAGCAGTGTCAAGGAAGACGCGGGCTTCCGCTTCGCCGGTACTCACCGGCAAGCTTCAGCCCCCCTGAAGTAACCGCCATCGTGACGGCGTCGCTCGAAGGGATGCTCACGGATCGTGGTGGTGATGGTGTTGCACATGGCCATTGTGAACCCACCGAGACTTTTCCCCCGTCATAGGAATGTGGAATTTCCACCACTGGCTCGGGGATATCGGCCTCGTGTAAACGAGCTGGGTGCATCGTAACAGGCGGCGGCGGCTTAGGCCTTCATCCAACAGTGGATAAAGCCTGGCCGGTGATTACGATGGCGGTGCCTAGCGGAGGCCTTCATCCAGCAGTGGATAGACCACGGCCGGTGATTACGATGGCGGTGCCTAGCGGAGGCCTTCATCCAGCAGTGGATAGACCACGGCCGGTGATGATGGCGCCACCACCGTGGGTGAGCGGGGGTGAGCACGCGGGGGCGAGCGAGCGAGGTTGAGTAACTGTGGCAGTTGCTATTATTGTGACATTGTTGCTCGGCGGTCCCATCAGATACGGATTAATCACGCGCGAGGCGAGAGGGGAATTTTAATCCTGGATCTCAGCGGTGCTGGCTCAGCGTCCCTGGCATGGCCATTGTGAACACCCAGGACCCAGGGCTCGAACCCAGGGTCTATGTGTCTCTGACATGGCCACTGTGAACCCACTGAGAGAGAGAGACACCCAGACCCAGGGCTCGAACCCAGGGTCTCTGTGTCTCTGACACGACCATTGTGAACCCACTGAGAGAGAGAGACACCCAGACCCAGGGTATCTGTGTCTGTGACATGGACACTGTGAACTCACCAACAGAGACACCCAGACCCAGGGCTCGAACCCAGGGTCTCTGTGTCTCTGACATGGCCACTGTGAACTCACTGAGAGAGAGACACCCAGACTCAGGGCTCGAACCCAGGATCTCTGTGTCTCTGACATGGCCACTGTGAACCCACAGAGAGACCCAGACCCAGGGTCACTGTGTCTCTGACATGGCCATTATGAACTCACTGAGAGAGACATCCAGACCCAGGGCTCGGACCCAGGGTCTCTGTGTCTCTGACATGGCCATTGTGAACCCACAGAGAGAGACACTCAGACCCAGGGTCACTGTGTCTCTGATATGGCCATTGTGAGGCCACTGAGAGAGACACCCAGACCCAGGGCTCGAACCCAGGCTCTCTGTGTCTCTGACATGGCCACTGTGAACCCACTGAGAGAGACACCCAGACCCAGGGTCTCAGTGTCTCTGATATGGCCATTGTGAACTCACCAACAGAGACACCCAGACCCAGGGTCTCTGTGTCTCTTACATGGCCACTGTGAACCCACTGAGAGAGACACCCAGACCCAGGTCTCTAACCCAGGTCCCCAGTGTAGATGACTCAGTGTCTCTTACATGGCCACTGTGAACCCATTGAGAGACACCCAGACCCAGGGTCACTGTGTCGCTGACATGGCCACTGTGAACTCACCAACAGAGACACCCAGACCCAGGGCTCGGACCCAGAGTGTTGGTGATGCTGGATGAGTGTATTGGCACGAGGAGATAAGACAGACAGAGAGAGATAAGAGAGATACGTGTTGTAGATAAAGCAGGGGGGAAAGAGAGAGGGGAAGACGACTCCGCTTTCTCTGACGCAACAACAGAGTTCGTGAGGTGAGCCGAAACGCCGCGGTTCTAAAGCGATGGCATCTCCTGACGGATCGCTCGTAAGCTCGACGCTCGTTAGTCGGACGCTCGTAAGTGGGACGTTGGTAGGTCAGACGTTCGTAAGTGGGACGCTCGTAGGTGGGACGCTCGTAAGTGAGACGCTCGTAAGTAGGACGCTCGTTTTGCCCGGGCGTTAGCTGTGCTTGTGTGTATTCGGCTCCTGCTGCTATAAATATCCGCACCATGATAAGCCACTCACTTCGTTGAACTTACATTTCTTGTGGCCAGGTCGCTTCTGAAAAAATCTGCATAGCTCAGCGGGCCCTTATTATTGATTTGTTTACCTTTCCTATACTTTGCACCTCTATCGATTTTTTTCGTATTGTTGCTGTGACTTTCTGACCCGCCCCTACTAGACGTCTGTGAAAAAGAGCTTCATAGCTCATCGGATTTCTTCAGGATAAACACAGATTCTGATTCACACGTCATCATCTCCCTGTGCGGTTGCGAGCCTCACTGTGTCTGCTGCTGCTGTGTCTGCTGCTGTGTCTGCTGCTGCTGTGTCTGCTGTGTCTGCTGCTGTGTCTGCTGCTGTGTCTGCTGTGTCTGCTGCTGTGTCTGCTGCTGCTGTGTCTGCTGCTGCTGTGTCTGCTGCTGTGTCTGCTGCTGTGTCTGCTGCTGTGTCTGCTGCTGTGTCTGCTGCTGTGTCTGCTGCTGCTGTGTCTGCTGCTGTGTCTGCTGCTGCTGTGTCTGCTGCTGCTGCTGTGTCTGCTGCTGCTGTGTCTGCTGCTGCTGCTGTGTCTGCTTCTGTGTCTGCTGCTGCTGCTGTTGTGTCTGCTGTGTCTGCTGTTGTGTCTGCTGCTGTGTCTGCTGTGTCTGCTGCTGTGTCTGCTGCTGCTGTGTCTGCTGCTGCTGCTGTGTCTGCTGCTGTGTCTGCTGCTGCTGCTGTATCTGCTGCTGCGGTGTCTGCTGCTGCTGTGTCTGCTGTGTCTGCTGCTGCTGCTACTGCTGCTGTGTCTGCTGCTGCTGTGTCTGCTGCTGCTCTGTCTGCTGCTGTGTCTGCTGCTGCTGTGTCTGCTGCTGCTGCTGTGTCTGCTGCTGTGTCTGCTGCTGCTGTGTCTGCTGCTGCTGTGTCTGCTGCTGCTGCTGTGTCTGCTGCTGTGTCTGCTGCTGCTGTGTCTGCTGCTGCTGTGTCTGCTGCTGCTGTGTCTGCTGCTGCTGTGTCTGCTGCTGTGTCTGCTGCTGCTGTGTCTGCTGTGTCTGCTACTGCTGTTGTGTCTGCTGTGTCTGCTGTTGTGGCTGCTGCTGTGTCTGCTGCTGCTGCTGTGTCTGCTGCTGCTGTGTCTGCTGCTGCTGTGTCTGCTGCTGTGTCTGCTGCTGCTGCTGTGTCTGCTGCTGTGTCTGCTGTGTCTGCTGTGTCTGCTGCTGCTGTGTCTGCTGCTACTGCTGCTGTGTCTGCTGCTGTGTCTGCTGCTGTGTCTGCTGCTACTGCTGCTGTGTCTGCTACTGCTGTGTCTGCTGCTGTGTCTGCTACTGCTGCTGTGTATGCTGCTGTGTCTGCTGTGTCTGCTGCTGCTGCTGTGTCTGCTGCTGTGTCTGCTGCTGCTGTGTCTGCTGCTGCTGTGTCTGCTGCTGCTGTGTCTGCTGTGTCTGCTCTGCTGCTGCTGCTGTGTCTGCTGCTCTGTCTGCTGTGTCTGCTGTTGCTGCTGTGTCTGCTGCTACTGTGTCTGCTGCTGTGTCTGCTGCTGTGTCTGCTGCTGCTGTGTCTGCTGCTGTGTCTGCTGCTGCTGTGTCTGCTGCTGCTGTGTCTGCTGCTGTGTCTGCTGCTGCTGCTGCTCAGGCGATGGACCCCCGGTCCCTGCTGCACGGGGGCTACCACCACACCGTGCTGCGGCGCTGGCAGGGGAATGGCGCCGCCTTCAGCGCCGACAACCTCGTCTACCCACTCTTCATCACGTAAGACAACCTCGTCTACCCACTCTTCATCACGTAAGACAACCTCGTCTACCCACTCTTCATCACGTAAGACAACCTCGTCTACCCACTCTTCATCACGTAAGACAACCTCGTCTACCCACTCTTCATCACGTAAGACAACCTCGTCTACCCACTCTTCATCACGTAAGACAACCTCGTCTACCCACTCTTCATCACGTAAGACAACCTCGTCTACCCACTCTTCATCACGTAAGACAACCTCGTCTACCCACTCTTCATCACGTAAGACAACCTCGTCTACCCACTCTTCATCACGTAAGACAACCTCGTCTACCCACTCTTCATCACGTAAGACAACCTCGTCTACCCACTCTTCATCACGTAAGACAACCTCGTCTACCCACTCTTCATCACGTAAGACAACCTCGTCTACCCACTCTTCATCACGTAAGACTACCTCGTCTACCCACTCTTCATCACGTAAGACTACCTCGTCTACCCACTCTTCATCACGTAAGACAACCTCGTCTACCCACTCTTCATCACGTAAGACTACCTCGTCTACCCACTCTTCATCACGTAAGACAACCTCGTCTACCCACTCTTCATCACGTAAGACTACCTCGTCTACCCACTCTTCATCACGTAAGACTACCTCGTCTACCCACTCTTCATCACGTAAGACAACCTCGTCTACCCACTCTTCATCACGTAAGACAACCTCGTCTACCCACTCTTCATCACGTAAGACAACCTCGTCTACCCACTCTTCATCACGTAAGACAACCTCGTCTACCCACTCTTCATCACGTAAGACAACCTCGTCTACCCACTCTTCATCACGTAAGACAACCTCGTCTTCCCGCTCTTCATCACGTAAGACAACCTCGTCTACCCACTCTTCATCACGTAACACAACCTCGTCTATCCACTCTTCATCACGTAAGACAACCTCGTCTACCCACTCTTCATCACGTAAGACAACCTCGTCTACCCACTCTTCATCACGTAAGACAACCTCGTCTACCCACTCTTCATCACGTAAGACAACCTCGTCTACCCACTCTTCATCACGTAAGACAACCTCGTCTTCCCGCTCTTCATCACGTAAGACAACCTCGTCTACCCACTCTTCATCACGTAACACAACCTCGTCTATCCACTCTTCATCACGTAAGACAACCTCGTCTACCCGCTCTTCATCACGTAAGACAACCTCGTCTACCCACTCTTCATCACGTAAGACAACCTCGTCTACCCACTCTTCATCACGTAAGACAACCTCGTCTACCCACTCTTCATCACGTAACACAACCTTGTCTATCCACTCTTCATCACGTAAGACAACCTCGTCTACCCACTCTTCATCACGTAACACAACCTCGTCTACCCGATCTTCATCACGTAAGACAACCTCGTCTATCCACTCTTCGTTATGTAAGACAACCTCGTCTACCCACTCTTCATCACGTAACACAACCTCGTCTATCCACTCTTCATCACATAACACAACCTCGTCTACCCGCTCTTCATCACGTAAGACAACCTCGTCTACCCGATCTTCATCACGTAAGACAACCTCGTCTACCCACTCTTCATCACGTAACACAACCTCGTCTATCCACTCTTCATCACGTAACACAACCTCGTCTACCCGCTCTTCATCACGTAAGACAACCTCGTCTACCCACTCTTCATCACGTAAGACAACCTCGTCTATCCACTCTTCATCACGTAACACAACCTCGTCTACCCACTCTTCATCACGTAAGACAACCTCGTCTATCCACTCTTCATCACGTAACACAACCTCATCTACCCGATCTTCATCACGTAAGACAACCTCGTCTACCCACTCTTCATCACGTAAGACAACCTCGTCTACCCCATCTTCATCACGTAAGACAACCTCGTCTACGCACTCTTCATCACGTAAGACAACCTCGTCTACCCGCTCTTCGTCCTCCGTGCAGCCTCTGGACGGGCTGCTGGGGGGAGGGAGGGGCCAGGTGCCGTTAGCGAGGAGCAGCAGCAGCGCCCTATGAAGGCCCAGAGATACACAGATACTCACTGAGACTCACAGAGACTCACTGAGACTCACAGAGACTCACTGAGACTCACAGAGGCTCACAGATACTCACTGAGATACACAGATACTCACAGAGATACACAGATACTCACAGAGATACACAGATACTCACAGAGATACACAGATACTCACTGAGACTCACAGAGACTCACTGAGACTCACTGAGACTCACAGAGATACACAGATACTCACTGAGATACACAGATACTCACAGAGATACACAGATACTCACAGAGATACACAGATACTCACTGAGACTCACAGATACTCACTGAGACTCGCAGAGACTCACTGAGACTCACAGATACTCACAGAGATACACAGATACTCACAGAGATACACAGATACTCACAGAGATACACAGATACTCACAGAGATACACAGATACTCACAGATACTCACAGAGATACACAGATACTCACAGAGATACACAGATACTCACAGAGATACACAGATACTCACAGAGACTCACTGATACTCACTGAGACTCACAGAGACTCACTGAGACTCACAGAGATACACAGATACTCACAGAGATACACAGATACTCACTGAGACTCGCAGAGACTCACTGAGACTCACAGATACTCACAGAGATACACAGATACTCACAGAGATACACAGATACTCACAGAGACACACAGATACTCACAGAGGCTCACAGATACTCACAGAGATACACTGAGACTCACTGAGACTCACTGAGACTCACATAGATACACAGATACTCACAGAGATACACAGATACTCACTGAGACTCACAGAGACTCACTGAGACTCACAGAGGCTCACAGAGATACACAGATACTCACAGAGATACACAGATACTCACAGAGGCTCACAGATACTCACAGAGATACACAGATACTCACAGAGATACACAGATACTCACAGAGACTCACAGAGGCTCACAGCTGCTCACTGAGACTCACAGAGACTCACAGATACTCACAGAGGCTCACAGATACTCACAGAGATACACAGATACTCACAGAGATACACAGATACTCACAGAGACTCACCGAGACTCACAGAGGCTCACAGAGGCTCACAGAGGCTCACAGAGATACACAGATACTCACAGAGGCTCACAGATGCTCACAGATACTCACAGAGGCTCACAGATACTCACAGAGATACACAGATACTCACAGAGATACACTGAGACTCACAGAGACTCACAGAGACTCACAGAGGCTCACAGATACTCACTGAGACTCACTGAGACTCACATAGACTCACAGATACTCACAGAGATACACAGATACTCACTGAGACTCACTGAGACTCACAGAGACTCACTGAGACTCACAGATGCTCACAGATGCTCACAGAGGCTCACAGATACTCACTGAGACTCACAGAGACTCACAGAGGCTCACAGATGCTCACAGAGGCTCACAGATACTCACTGAGACTCACAGATACTCACAGAGATACACAGATACTCACAGATACTCACTGAGACTCACTGAGACTCACAGAGACTCACAGAGGCTCACAGATGCTCACAGATGCTCACAGAGGCTCACAGAGACTCACTGAGACTCACAGAGACTCACTGAGACTCGCAGAGGCTCACAGATGCTCACAGAGGCTCACAGATACTCACTGAGATACACAGATACTCACAGAGACTCACTGAGACTCACTGAGCCTCACAGAGACTCACAGATACTCACAGATACACACTGAGACTCACAAAGGCTCGCAGAGATACACAGATACTCACTGAGGCTCACAGAGGCTCACAGAGACTCACTGAGACTCACAGAGGCTCGCAGAGATACACAGATGCTCGCAGATACTCAGAGGCTCACAGATGCTCACTGAGACTCGCAGAGGCTCGCAGAGGCTCACAGATACTCACAGATACTCACATAGGCTCACTGAGGCTCACAGAGGCTCACAGAGGCTCACTGAGACTCACTGAGACTCACTGAGACTCACAGAGGCTCACTGAGACTCGCAGAGGCTCGCAGAGGCTCGCAGAGGCTCGCAGAGATACACAGATACTGAGGCCCACAGAGGCTCACTGAGACTCACAGAGGCTCGCAGAGGCTCACTGAGACTCACAGAGGCTCGCAGAGATACACAGATACTCACTGAGGCTCACAGAGGCTCACAGAGGCTCACCGATGCTCACTGAGACTCACAGAGAATCACTGAGACTCACTGAGACTCACAGAGGCTCGCAGAGATACACAGATGCTCGCAGATACTCACAGAGGCTCACAGATGCTCACTGAGACTCGCAGAGGCTCACAGATACTCACAGAGGCTCACATAGGCTCACTGAGATTCACTGAGACTCACAGAGGCTCACTGAGACTCGCAGAGGCTCGCAGAGGCTCGCAGAGATACACATATACTCACTGATGCCCACAGAGGCTCACTGAGACTCACAGAGGCTCGCAGAGGCTCACTGAGACTCACAGAGGCTCGCAGAGGCTCACTGAGACTCACAGAGGCTCGCAGAGAAACACAGACTCACAGAGACTCACTGAGACTCACAGAGGCTCGCAGAGGCTCGCAGAGATACACAGATACTCACTGAGGCTCGCAGAGGCTCGCAGAGGCTCGCAGAGATACACAGATGCTCGCAGAGGCTCGCAGCGGCTCACTGAGACTCAGAGGCTCGCAGAGGCTCGCAGAGACTCACGGAGACTCGCAGAGATTTCGAGCTTCAAAGAGAACTGACTGAGAGAGACGCCCAGACCCAGGGCTCGAACCCAGGCAGTCACCTTGGGGGCAGCCGAATACGAGCACCGATGAAGGCTGCCGGCGCTGTGGCACACGAGGGGGTGGGTGGCCAGCACCACGCCCGGCCGCCTTTGTCTCCCCAGTGCCGAGGTTTACCGCACCCCGCACCCCGCACAGCGCACCGGGCTGAGTCGAGCGAGAGGGAGGCCCAGGACTGGTTCGGGTAACTGCCACTGGTGGTGGTGGTGGTGTTGTTGGTGGTGTTGGTGGTGGTGTTGGTGTTGTTGGTGGTGGTGGTGTTGGTGGTGTTGGTGGTGGTGTTGGTGTTGTTGGTGGTGGTGGTGTTGGTGGTGTTGGTGGTGGTGTTGGTGTTGTTGGTGGTGGTGGTGTTGGTGGTGTTGGTGGTGGTGTTGGTGGTGTTGGTGGTGGTGGTGTTGGTGGTGGTGTTGGTGGTGGTGTTGGTGGTGGTGTTGATGGTGGTGGTGGTGTTGATGGTGGTGGTGTTGGTGGTGTTGGTGGTGTTGGTGGTTGTGGTGTTGGTGGTTGTGGTGTTGGTGTTGGTGGTGGTGTTGGTGGTGGTGGCCGTGAGTGGGGATCGAACTGGGGCCATAGCTGGGTTCATGGCGCAGCACGAGCTGACCACTGTGCCACCGCTCCCCAAAACAAAGACCCCCCCCCCCCCCGTGTAGAGCCTTCACGGGCTGTTGGTGCAGGTGCTGTGAAGGCTGCCGGTGCTGCGGCACACGAGGGGGTGGGTGGCCAGCACCACGCCCGGCCGCCTTTGTCTCCCCTCGGTGACGATGTTTTACTGCACACCGCACCAGGTCACTCCTCATTTGAGGCCGAGGGGAAGCCCAGGACCGGTTCAGATAATCGTCACCGGTGTTGGCTGCGAGGCGGGAATCGAACTCGGGTCATAGCCGGGTTCGTAGCGTCGCGTAACGCTAACCGCTGTACCACCGCTCCCCCTACACAAAGATCCCCCGTGTAGCCTGTAACACTGTCCGGGGCAAGTGCTGTCAGCGAGCGGCGCCTATGAAGGCCGGCACGGCGCACAATGGGGTGGGTGGCCAGCACCACGCCCAGTCACCGCCTTCAAGTCTCCCATGCTGAAGTGTCCACATCACACACGATGCTCATTTAGGGCTGAGTCGACCTAGGCGATGCCCAGGACCAGCTCTGATGTCGCTCAACAGCAGCGAAGTCACAGCGTCGCCAATGACGGTGGCCACGAGTAGGAATCGAACTCAGGTTGTGATGTTTCTCTCTCCCGCAGGGATGATGCTGATGGGCTTGAGCCCATTCCAAGTTTACCTGGGCTGGCCAGGTGAGTGGAACGTGTGTGTGTGTGTGTCTGTGTGTGTGTCTGTGTGTGTGTCTCTGTGTGTGTCTGTGCTTGTGTGTCTGTGTGTGGGGAGCGGTAGTGTAGCGGTTAGCGCTACGCTGCACTATGAACCTGGCGACCCGGGTTCGATTCCCGCTCACGGCCAACACCAGTGACGATTATCTGAACCGGTCCCGGGCCTCCCCTAGGTCGACTCAGCCTCAAATGAGTACCTGGTGCGGTGTGTAAACATTTCCACTAGGGAGACAAAGGCGGTCGGGCGTGGTGCTGGCCACCCACCCCCTCGTGTACCGTTCCGGCCTTCATAGGTGCTCGCTAACAGCACTTGCCCCTACAGTCTGTTAAGGCTATATGGGGGATCTTTGTCTTTGTGTGTGTGTCTGTGTTTTGTCTGTGTGTATCTCTGTGTGTGTTAATGAGTGTGTAGTAGTAGCTACTACTACACGTGTAGTAGTAGTAGTAGCTACTACTACACGTGTAGTAGTAGCTACTACTACACTACTACTACACGTGTAGTAGTAGCTACTACTACTACACGTGTAGTAGTAGCTACTACTACACGTGTAGTAGTAGCTACTACTACTACACGTGTAGTAGTAGCTACTACTACTACACGTGTAGTAGTAGCTACTACTACACGTGTAGTAGCTACTACTACTACACGTGTAGTAGTAGCTAGTAGTAGCTACTACTACACGTGTAGTAGCTACGGGCCCCGCACTTTCAAGGGCCCCGCGCTAAACGCTTTCAAGCTATCAACTCCGGTTCAGTGATACTGCACTTGCTCTATTACTACAGTACTATACCGCCTTCGACTTTCACGAACGACCGTGTGTTTAAGGTTGGTGACTTGTCGTACTGTCTGGCCGTATAGCAAATAAAAACAATACAATTACTTTACTGTGCAAGTTCAACATGCGTGCTTTTAAATATTTAAGCCAGTTTTTTTAGGGCACCTTTATAACAACAAATGCTACAGGCCCCGCACTCGCTTCATCCCGCACCGCCGCTGACGATCATCCAACCCAGGACATGCACCGCCTCTCGCTCGACTCGTCCCCAAACCGAGTGTCCCGCCGGTGCGGTGCGTCTGTGAAACACCGGGACGCCGGCCACCCGCCCGCCCGCCCGCCCACGCCGTGTGCCACCCCCCGAGGGTGCTGCTCGCGAACGTCGCCTTCCTGAGCAGGCTGTGCGGGGTGGGGGGCGGGTGTCTTCGTCAGGTATGGAGTGAACAGGCTGGGGCCTGTGCTGGAACCCCTCATCAAGAACGGCCTCAAGGCCGTGCTGATATTCGGTGTCCCTGCCAAGCTCCCCAAGGTGACCGCCTGGGCACGGGGCCTGGGTCTGGGTGTCTCGTCTCTCTCTCTCAGTGCATTCTCTGTGAGTCTCTGTGAGTCTCCTAGGAGGCTCCGTGTATCTCAGTGAGCCTCTGTGTATCTCTGTGTATCTCTGTGAGTCTCTGTGTATCTCTGTGAGTCTCTGTGTATCTTTGTGTATCTCAGTGAGCCTCTGTGTATCTTTGTGTATCTCAGTGAGCCTCTGTGTATCTCAGTGAGCCTCTGTGTATCTCTGTGAGTCTCTGTGTATCTCTGTGTATCTCTGTGAGTCTCTGTGTATCTCTTTGTATCTCAGTGAGCCTCTGTGTATCTCAGTGAGCCTCTGTGTATCTTTGTGTATCTCTGTGAGCCTCTGTGTATCTCTGTGTATCTCAGTGAGCCTCTGTGTAGCTCAGTGAGCCTCTGTGTATTTCTGAGCTTCTGTGTATCTCAGTGAGCCTCTGTGTATCTCAGTGAGCCTCTGTGTATCTCAGTGAGCTTCTGTGTATCTCAGTGAGCCTCTGTGTATCTCTGTATCTCTGTGAGCCTCTGTGTATCTCTGTATCTCTGTGAGCCTCTGTGTATCTCAGTGAGCCTCTGTGTATCTCAGTGAGCCTCTGTGTATCTCTGTGTATCTCTGTGAGCCTCTGTGTATCTCTGTGTATCTCTGTGAGACTCTGTGTATCTCAGTGAGCCTCTGTGTATCTCAGTGAGCCTCTGTGTATCTCTGTGAGTCTCTGTGTATCTCTGTGAGCCTCTGTGTATCTCTGTGTATCTCTGTGAGCCTCTGTGTATCTCAGTGAGCCTCTGTGTATCTCATTGAGCCTCTGTGTATCTCTGTGAGCCTCTGTGTATCTCTGTGTATCTCTGTGAGCCTCTGTGTATCTCTGTGTATCTCTGTGAGCCTCTGTGTATCTCTGTGAGCCTCTGTTTATCTATTTGTATCTCAGTGAGCCTCTGTGTATCTCAGTGAGCCTCTGTGTATCTTTGTGTATCTCTGTGTATCTCTGTGTATCTCAGTGAGCCTCTGTGTATCTCAGTGAGCCTCTGTATCTCTGTGAGCCTCTGTGTATCTCTGTGTATCTCTGTGTATCTCAGTGAGCCTCTGTGTATCTCAGTGAGCCTCTGTGTATCTTTGTGTATCTCAGTGAGCCTCTGTGTATCTTTGTGTATCTCAGTGAGCCTCTGTGTATCTCAGTGAGCCTCTGTGTATCTCTGTGAGTCTCTGTGTATCTCTGTGTATCTCTGTGAGTCTCTGTGTATCTCTTTGTATCTCAGTGAGCCTCTGTGTATCTCAGTGAGCCTCTGTGTATCTTTGTGTATCTCTGAGCCTCTGTGTATCTCTGTGTATCTCAGTGAGCCTCTGTGTAGCTCAGTGAGCCTCTGTGTATCTCTGAGCTTCTGTGTATCTCAGTGAGCCTCTGTGTATCTCAGTGAGCCTCTGTGTATCTCAGTCAGCCTCTGTGTATCTCTGTATCTCTGTGAGCCTCTGTGTATCTCTGTATCTCTGTGAGCCTCTGTGTATCTCAGTGAGCCTCTGTGTATCTCAGTGAGCCTCTGTGTATCTCTGTGTATCTCTGTGAGCCTCTGTGTATCTCTGTGTATCTCTGTGAGCCTCTGTGTATCTCAGTGAGCCTCTGTGTATCTCAGTGAGCCTCTGTGTATCTCTGTGAGTCTCTGTGTATCTCTGTGTATCTCAGTGAGCCTCTGTGTATCTCATTGAGCCTCTGTGTATCTCTGTGAGCCTCTGTGTATCTCTGTGTATCTCTGTGAGCCTCTGTGTATCTCAGTGAGCCTCTGTGTATCTCATTGAGCCTCTGTGTATCTCTGTGAGCCTCTGTGTATCTCTGTGTATCTCTGTGAGCCTCTGTGTATCTCTGTGTATCTCTGTGAGCCTCTGTGTATCTCTGTGAGCCTCTGTTTATCTCTTTGTATCTCAGTGAGCCTCTGTGTATCTCAGTGAGCCTCTGTGTATCTTTATGTATCTCTGTGTATCTCTGTGTATCTCAGTGAGCCTCTGTGTATCTCAGTGAGCCTCTGTATCTCTGTGAGCCTCTGTGTATCTCTGTGTATCTCTGTGTATCTCAGTGAGCCTCTGTGTATCTCAGTGAGCCTCTGTGTATCTGTGTATCTCTGTGTATCTCAGTGAGCCTCTGTGTATCTCAGTGAGCCTCTGTGTATCTGTGTATCTCTGTGTATCTCTGTGAGCCTCTGTGTATCTCTGTGTATCTCAGTGAGGCTCTGTGTATCTCTGTGAGCCTCTGTTTATCTCTGTGTATCTCTGTGAGCCTCTGTTTATCTCTGTGTATCTCTGTGAGCCTCAGTGAGCCTCTGTGTATCTCAGTGAGCCTCTGTGTATCTCTGTGAGTCTCTGTGTATCTCTGTGTATCTCAGTGAGCCTCTGTGTATCTCATTGAGCCTCTGTGTATCTCTGTGTATCTCTGTGAGTCTCTGTGTATCTCTTTGTATCTCAGTGAGCATCTGTGTATCTCAGTGAGCCTCTGTGTATCTTTGTGTATCTCAGTGAGCCTCTGTATCTCTGTGAGCCTCTGTGTATCTGTGTATCTCTGTGTATCTCAGTGAGCCTCTGTGTATCTCTGTGTATCTCTGTGAGCCTCTTGTGTATCTCTGTGAGCCTCTGTGTATCTCTGTGTATCTCTGTGGGCCTCTGTGTATCTCTGTGTATCTCTGTGTGTCTCTGTGAGCCTCTGTGTATCTCTGTATCTCTGTGAGCCTCTGGAGTGTCCTCCGAGACCCTGTGTATGTGCCCCCCTGTGTCTGTGTGTGTGAAGGATGTGGGGAGCGGCGGTGTAGCGGTTAGCGCTACGCTGCGCTACGAACCCGGCGTCCCGAGTTCGATTCCCGCTTACGGCCACCGCCGCCAGTGACTATAAACCGGTACTGGGCCTCTCCTAGGTCGACTCAACCTCAAATGACTTACCTGGTGCGATGCGTAAACATCGCCACTGGGGAGACAAAGGCGGCCGGGCGTGGTGCTGGCCACCCACCCCCTCGTGCGCGAGCCGCGGTGCCGGCCTTCCCAGGCGCTCGCTGACGGTGCTTTGCCCCAACAGCCTGCTGCAGGCTCCACGGGGGGCGCCTTTGTCTTTGTCTTGCGAAGGATGACAGAGGCTCCAGCGCCGACTGCCCCACCTGCCCGGCCATCCTCGCCGCCCGTGCGCTCCGTGGCCTCTTCCCGGGCCTCCTGGTGGCGTGCGACGTCTGCCTGTGTCCCTACACCAGCCACGGGCACTGCGGTACGACTTGGACGCCGCACAGCGGGATCAGCGACGACGCCATCGCTCTCTCCGTGCACGTGGACGCATCGACGGCAACGACGGCCGCCATTAAAAGCGGCGGTGGCGTCACCGCGGCCACTGTGCCAGGCTAGGTGCAGGAGGTCACGGGACAGACCCAGCGGGTGACATCGGTTGCACTGCTGTGCCAGGCTAGGTGCACTTTGAGGCCATCACGCGAAATGTCGAGGGCTCGCTGATGCTGGCAGGAGGTCACGGGACAGACCCAGCGGGTGACATTAGTTGACTGAGATGACTGGCAGATGCACCACTGTGCCAGGCTAGGTGCAGGAGGTCACGGGACAGACCCAGCAGGTGACATTAGTTGGCTGACCGAGATGACTGGCAGGTGCACCACTGTGCCAGGCTAGGTGCAGGAGGTCACGGGACAGACCCAGCAGGTGACATTAGTTGGCTGACCGAGATGACTGGCAGGTGCACCACTGTGCCAGGCTAGGTGCAGGAGGTCACGGGACAGACCCAGCAGGTGACATCAGTTGACTGACCGAGATGACTGGCAGATTCACCACTGTGCCAGGCTAGGTGCAGGAGGTCACGGGACAGACCCAGCGGGTGACATTAGTTGGCTGACCGAGATGACTGGCAGATGCACCACTGTGCCAGGCTAGGTGCAGGAGGTCACGGGACAGACCCAGCGGGTGACATTAGTTGGCTGACCGAGATGACTGGCAGATGCACCACTGTGCCAGGCTAGGTGCAGGAGGTCACGGGACAGACCCAGCAGGTGACATTAGTTGGCTGACCGAGATGACTGGCAGGTGCACCACTGTGCCAGGCTAGGTGCAGGAGGTCACGGGACAGACCCAGCGGGTGACATTAGTTGGCTGACCGAGATGACTGGCAGATGCACCACTGTGCCAGGCTAGGTGCAGGAGGTCACGGGACAGACCCAGCAGGTGACATTAGTTGGCTGACCGAGATCACTGGCAGGTGCACCACTGTGCCAGGCTAGGTGCAGGAGGTCACGGGACAGACCCAGCGGGTGACATCAGTTGGCTGACCGAGATGACTGGCAGATGCAGCTCCAGCTCTACCCCCCTAGGGGGCCATCCATTTAGTACGTACGCAAAAATCTGTCAAAACTTGACCCCTCTCCCCGTCCCTGTAGACACGCGTACTTTTTACACCCCCCACCTGCGTACGTATGCTTGACGCACCGCCCCCCCCCCCCCGAATCCTATAGAACGGACGATATTTAATCCATGCAGAACCGATCAAGGATTAATAATATGAACGTGTTTTAAGCAAACAGATAGTCCACCGCCAGACTATCTTAACTCATTTGAAGGCCAATGTAGACAAATTATTATCGAGGCTTCACCCCCCCCCCCCCCGTTTCCTGTGCGTACGTTGGATCGCCCCCTACTGTGCCAGGCTAGGTGCAGGAGGTCTCGGGACAGACCCAGGTGCCATGGGTCGACTGACTGAGATGATTGGCAGATGCACAGCAGCTGTGCCCCCTACTGTGCCAACACACACACATACACGCACTTGGACACACACACACTCGTATATCAAGACAAAAATTCCTCCGTATCGCCTGAACGGGCAGTTTGAGCAAATGCTGCTGGCGATCAACAACGCAGGCTGGCACGGCCCACGAGGGGCGATTGGCCTTCGTCACGCCCGGCCGCCTTTGTCTCCCCAGTGCTGATGTTCACAGACTGCACCAGCTACTCATTTGAGGCTCGGGGAGGCCCAGGACCGGTTCGGATATTTGTCACCGATGTTGGCTGTGAGCGGGACTCGAACTCGGGCCGCCGGGTTCGTGTCGCTGTGGGCTAACCGCTGCGCCACCACTTGACACTCGCACTCGGCCTTACACGTTGAGTGGTGGTGAAGGTGCACTTCGAGGTCATGATATGAAGTGTGGAAGGCTCGCCGCGGGCAGGAGGACCACGGGACAGATCCACGTGCTGCCGCGGGTCGACTGACTGTAATGGCTGGCATAATGCACCACCCGTGCCCCATACTGTGGCAACTCGCTGCATTTTAGCCGCCCGGCGCTCCGCTCGTTGTTGTGAGCGTCGCTCCTCCGCCCCCTCCGCTGTTGCCGCAGGGCGACTGCCTCCAACCGCCCGGTCGCATCAGAGTGCACCTAGCCTGGCACTGCCCGGTAGCGTCCTTCACGAGCCTCCTCCTCCACAGAGGCCTCTCTCACGCTGCTCCTCACGCTCCGTGACGTGTGTGCCGTGCGTGTGTCATGTGTCGTGTGCCATGCGTGTGCCGCGCGCCGTGGGTGACCTAGGCATCCTGCGAGCGGACGGGACTCTGGACAACGAAGCTTCGTGCCAGCGTCTGGCTGAGGTGGCGCTGGCTTACGCCAAAGCCGGTGAGTGGAGCCTCCGGGCCACAGCGGTGCCTCCTTCACAGGGGAGACTCCTGCCAAACACGCACGCAGCGTGCACGCTCACACACGTACACACAGACACACTCGCGCGCTCACACACGCAGACACTCACTCACACACGCAGACACACACTCACAGACACAGACACACACTCACACACGCAGACACACACTCACAGACACAGACACACACTCACACGCAGACACACTCGCGCGCTCACACACGCAGACACACGCTCGCACACTCGTACACGCAGACACACACTCGTACACACAGACACACACTCACACACGCAGACACACACTCACACACACAGACACACACTCACACACGCAGACACACACTCACAGACACACACGCAGACACACACTCGCACACACAGACACACTCACACACACAGCCACACTCGCACACACAGACACACACACACGCAGACACACGCACTCACACACACAGACACACACACACACAGACACACACTCGCACACACACAGACACACAGACACACACACTCACACATCGGCTCGACAGACCGAGGCACGAAGAGGAGGAGGCTGTCGACGCGGTTGACGCCGTGCCGTGCCGTGCCGTGCCGCTGCTGGATGTTGTGAGCCAGGCTGCCAGGTGATTGCGCCGAGCGACATGATGGACGGCAGGATCGGAGCCATCAAGCGCATCCTCATCGACAACGGCATGGCCAATCAGGTGCCGGAGCCCCGTCTAGCCCTAACGCTGACACTCGGCACGGCTGTAGCACTGAGCCACAGCGCTTAACACGAACCCCGATGTTGGCACTGACTCATTCAATCACTCACCCACCCACTCATTCACTCACTCACCAACTCATTCACTCACCCACCCACTCATTCACTCACTCACCAACTCATTCACTCACTCACCAACCCACTCACTCAATCACCCACCCACTAATTGACTCACTCACTCATCCATTAATTCACTCACTCATCCATTCATTCACTCACCAACCCACTCACTCACTCACCAACCCACTCACTCAATCACCTACCCACTAACTGACTCACTCACCCACCCACTCATTCATTCACTCACCAACCCACTCACTCAATCACCCACCCACGAATTGACTCACTCACTCACTCACCCACTCATTCACTCACCCACCCACTCATTCACTCACTCACCAACTCATTCACTCACTCACCAACCCACTCACTCAATCACCCACCCACTAATTGACTCACTCACTCATCCATTAATTCACTCACTCATCCATTCATTCACTCACCAACCCACTCACTCACTCACCAACCCACTCACTCAATCACCTACCCACTAACTGACTCACTCACCCACCCACTCATTCATTCACTCACCAACCCACTCACTCAATCACCCACCCACGAATTGACTCACTCACTCACTCACCCACTCATTCATTCACTCACCAACCAACCCACTCACTCACCCACCCACGCACGAATTGACTCACTCACCCACCCACTCATTCATTCACTCACCAATCCACTCGCTCACCCACCCACCCACTCTTGCAAATGAGCCCCGTCTAACCCGAACACTGACACTCAACACGACTATATCACTCACAATAACACTGACCACAACGCTTAACACTCACCCCAATGTTGTCACAAACTCATTCACTCACTCATTCATCCACTGACTCGTTCATTCATCCACTCATTCGTTCACTCACCAACCCACTCACTCGCCCACCCACTAATTCATTCACTCAATCATCCACTCATTCATTCACTCACCAAACCCACTCACCCACCCACTAATTCACTCAATCATCCACTCATTCATTCACTCACCAAACCCACTCACTCACCAACCCACTCACTCGCCCACCCACTTATTCACTCACTCAATCATCCACTCATTCGTTCACTCACCAACCCACTCACTCGCCCACCCACTAATCACTCACTCATCCACTCATTCATTCACTCACCAAACCCACACTCACCCACCCACTAATTCACTCACTCATCCACTCATTCATTCATTCACTCACCAAACCCACACTCACCCACCCACTCGTCCACTCATTCATTCACTCATACACTCATTCATTCACTCACCAAATGCACACTCACCCACCCACTAATTCACTCATCCACTCATTCATTCACTCACCAAACCCACACTCACCCACCCACTAATTCACTCACTCATCCACTCATTCATTCACTCACCAAACCCACACTCACCCACCCACTCGATCACCCACTCACTCATCCACTCATTCATTCACTCACCAAACCCACACTCACCCACCCACTCGATCACCCACTCACTCATCCACTCATTCATTCACTCACCAAACCGACTCACCCACCCACTCACTCATCCACCCATTCACTCACCAACCCACTCACTCACCCACCCACTCGATCACCCACCCACTCACTCACCCACTCACTCACCCATCCACTCACTCATCCACCCACCCACCCAATCACCCACTCAACTCATTCTTGCAAATGAGTCTCCTCCACGC